CAGAAAACGAAAAGTTAAACTCGTCGACAAGAAAAAGCAAAAAAGAAAAAGAGAAGAAAGAAAGAAACGTAAAGAAGAAAAATCGAAAAGACTAGCGCACGACGTTCCTCGTAGCTCGTTTGCGCGGAACGACGTGTACGATATCGTGTTATCGTTAAACTTTCTCGTACGTATGTTACAGAAGGTTCTCATGAAACGATGAACAATGAAAGTAATAAAAAAAAAAAAAAATACACACACACATAAATACAAATGTTTGCGTGAAGTATAGTACGAATATCTATATTATATATTATGCTTTCCGGATAATTTGTGATAGAGTTATTATTGTAAAGCGAGAGGAAACAATCGCGATATTTTCTCGATATATCTCCTCGTCGAGACATCGTGCGATCCTCGATGTTTCGAATGATTTTCTGTTCCGCGGGTAAAACAACAGTTGACGCAGCGATCGGCAGTAATGGTCCTAATAATCGATGAGCGTGAAAATTAGCGGGCCCTTTTCAACCGTCCGTAAAAGAGAAAAGAGAAGAAAGCACAAACGCATCAAGTCCGTAAAAGGGAAAAGAGGAAGATGAATACTACCATGATTCATCGATTCGATCGATCAGTAACAATACGAAAACGTCTTCTTTCCCAAGGATAGAGCCCTCGAAACTCCGAAACTCTCGACTTTTCATATCGAATGTTAATCTGTACAAATAACTAACGAAAATTGACTCTCAACTTATGTTACCCAATTGAGAAAAAAATATTAAAAATTTATCTCTATCGATCTCTTCTCTAGAAGAATAAGCGTTCTGGATGCCGAGAGTTTTTCGGGATCTCGTAAAGTCCCGAATTTGAGTCTAAAAATCGACCCATTTCCATTATATTCTTTCATTGCACACTTCGATTTAGTTCGTAAGTGTAACAACGTTTGCGATTCGACGAACGAAGTACAATCAAGACGGCGATTGTTTTTCCCTTTTTCTTTTCTTCGTTCAGTTGATTACACTTTTGCAGAGTAAAATAATTCGTAGAAATATGATAGAACTATGATGACGATATAAATAGAAGAAAAAAAAAAATATATATATATATACATACAAATGTTAAGCGCGCGTCGAAAGTTAAGACACATCGAGGGTGTTTCTCCGCAGCTTAATTATTTATTGTTGAACATAAACGACGCGAAAATTTCCGTGTACAGATTTAGATAAATGCGGTGTTATTATATAACGACGTTATGTAATCGTGGATAGAATTTAACGAAAAGAAGGAGAAGAGAAATTTGAGAAATTTTCGAGTAAATGTAATATACGCGTCTGTTGGTTATATTAGACTCATTCTGTATGTTCGATCGTTGCTCATTTTCGAAGCTTTAACCGTCCTTAATGAGAGGAAATGGTTCTTTCTTTTTTAAATGAAACAGTTACCCGCTACTTATATATTACTCTTTATTTAGCATAAATCGTTTAACTCAGAGAATGTTATATGGTAAGGTGATCGTATCGTATTATATGAAATGAAACGAATCGAGGGAGGAACGTAAAATAATTTATACAAACTCTATCACAACCAAAGCACCAGTTTTTAGTAATGAAGTACGCGTTGAAAAATAAATTAGTATTACCGTTATTAACTATTAATCCAATTTCTGTTTGTGTAAACATTAATATATCAACGATATTTTACATATTAATTTTAAGCTTTTAATTTTATAATAATATACATTAGTGCTAATTTTATGTTAATTTTATATCAATTTCATGTATTGAGTTTCTATCAGATTTCTATTAAACCCCGTACTAATTGCTAATTATTTTTTAAACGAAATATCCATCGTTTATTTCATATTTATTCTGTACTAATAGTAATGCCATTTTTTATTAATCTACCAAGGAGGATACACACACACGTGCTTGTTGAAAACAAGAGATATGATCACCCTACATTATAGACGATAGTTATTGACATACGGATGGTATGCGCATTCGAAAAGGGAGATCGCGTAACGATGAAAGCGCAACGAGAACAAAATTCTCGGACGATTCGTACGAGTTTTATAGGGATAGGGTGTTCAGAAGACTGAGAGTTGGAAATGCGGAGAGAAGGGAAGAACGAAGTGTGCAAAGCTTATGTTACGTAATACGTGCCATATAATCGCAACGCTAATCGAGAACGTTGCTCGTCAAGTTGTGTTGCATAACTGAATAATATATACGCACTCGTCTGCAACATTTTATGCTTCGCGTTTTTCTTTTCCTTTTTTCTTTTTGTAAATAATCGAACTGTTCGTACGATCGTGCGAACGATTATTCCCTTTCATTTGGTATTTTATTACAAAACTTTTTTTTTACAAAGATTGTGAACGGCGTAAAAACAGAACATTCCATTACTCACGTCCAGATCATGCACGTTTCATTGTTAGTCGACGATTCAGATTCAAAGAGGGAATACAATTGTTGAATCCAGGTGGCCGAATACCGATGTTTCGTCGAAGCTCGCGTTTCTCGCGGACGATTTACACGATAACGTAGCGATCTAATCGTTAGTGTGTGATTACCATTAACATTACTTTTTAATCGACGACACATCCACACGCATTCTACTTATGTCCTTAAACGTCTAATTAAACGAGATTTCTTCCATTTCGATCGATTTTGAATTATCTCGAATAAGCTCGATTCACAATACGAATTTTATACCATTTTTATATAAATCGAATAGTCTGGCCAAAGATGCGCCGGGGTCAGATATACCTTTACGAATGTTACACACGCGGTTACACACGCGTTTGTTTAATCTTCATCTCTGCGTGGACCTCTTTCCGAGATAGCGTGCGAATGATAATGTAAAATAAAAAGTGGCCGTCGCGTGAGTTCAAACTACCATTAAGTCGATGTTCGTTCAATATAAGAGAGGTATATTCGTGTTTGATGATCGGACAGGTTTAACTCCTCCCAATCGACGACAAAACGAACTAAATATTCGCCAGCGAGATTTTCTTAATAATCACGAATTGATCAGGGTTCTTCGTTAAGCGCACGTCCGGGAAGAAAGGAAACAAATTTACAATGTTCGAATGTTCTTTAATGCTATCGAATTGTTCGCGCATGCGAGATAGAGATGAAAGAATGAACGTGACGGTGTGATGATAAATGTAAGAAGAGACTTCTAATGAAGTAGAAGAAACGGCGGGAAAGCAGCAGAAAGAGGAAAAGAGAAGAAAGAAAGAGCGAAAGAGTGAAGGTGAAATATTCAGTATTTTGTCAAAAATTCATATTACCAGTGTAATAAAAGACTTTGATATATTGTTAGTATGCGTTGTAGGTATTACAGAATGAATTTAAATATAAATATACGCGATATATAAAGCATGCGCATCTGTAAACGTGCGTGTGCGTAAGAGATAATTAAGATCTTATAATTTTAAACAACTTTTAATATAGGTTTACTTGTGTAAAATAAAAAAAAAAAAAAATAATTGTGCTCAATAAATTTCAATAAATAACGATTTTGCCTATGCCAATAACGATTATTATTGTAATTATTTTTGTATAGAGAAGTAAGATATTATCTAAATATTATAAATACATTATAAATATAATAGTGATTACAGCATATATGTAATAAAGGTATTTAACATTGCATGTTTATATGTCTATAATATCCTATGCCAATTAATAGAAGAAAAGTTAAATCACCACCATTCTAAAAAGAATGTGCCACGAAGTTTTTAAAAAACTCGATCATTTTTGGCGCCACGAAGATTCTTGAAACAAACTTAAATCACAAAAAATTTATTAAAATTCTAATAAGAATTATTAGAGAGTCCTCGAGAAAGAAAGTAAATGAAGAGCTACTAAAATCATTATCCACTCGACGTAAGTACGAACAACAAACCGAGAGTGGAGTATCTTTTGTTCTTCGCAACACTAATTTACTAGAAATCAAATAGAAAATAGAAAATTCTTAAAATAAATCGCGAAGAGTGCTTTTTTTCATCTTTACAACATCGATTGGTCTACTATTGAAAAGAAATGAAACAAGTCGAAATTATAGTCTCGGGCATTTTGTGTGCGTTAATAAATATTAAACTATGCACTCATCTTTCAGTATTCGCAACACTAATCACGAAAATCAAGTACAGCTAACAACTGGAGACAACTAGAGACTGTTGAAACCACTTCTGTGCTCAGATGATTCACGCAACGCTAATTTTTAAAATGAATTTAAATTGAAAAACTACTACGTGTAATTAACAAAAAAATTATTCGAATTACTCGCAATGTCCACAAATAATGACATTATAAAATTAATCTTTCCGATTAAATTTTAAGTAAAATTAAAGGAGAACAAATTTTAACACTACTTCTCAAGAATTTACAACAATTCGTAATAAAAAGTGCTAAGAGCAATCACGATATTATATATCGCTTTTAAATTTGAAGAACTGAATAAATTGAAGTACAATATATAAAACTACTTACGATCTGGATCTCCAGGAGAGGCCTTATCCTCTTGAGCACTGACTCGAATACCGAAAATGAATATTTGAACAAGAAAAAATAGAAAAGAAGAAAAATAAAAGACTATCAACGCGCGCGTTTATGTATCAATCGACGGAGTCACTGACTCTAATTTCGCGAACCATAGTTTAAACAAAAAATAATCTGATTTAATAAGAGCCATTTTGCTCAGAAAAATTTAAATATTGCGCCATAAACACTGACTCTACTAACCGCATTGCGCGCGGTCACAAAAGTTTTCTGAAAATAAAGCTGATTAGTGGAGCGAAGAGTGCGTCTTTTTAAAAAATACTGTCACTTTTCTAGAAAATCATTATAAAGAATCTTTATTATGTATTAACGATATTAGATGTATATTATAAAATATTTCTCAATACTGTAAACGAAAGACAAATTGT